CTGCTCTGGCTCGTGCTCCTGTCCTCCCATGACCAACTGCTGCCCGACCGGTCGAGTGGTTGCTTCTGGTCGAGCTATCGCCTCCTGCGTCTCGGGTCGCGCCTCCACCCTTTGAGCTTCGGGTCGAGCAACTGCTCCCCTAGCTGGCGGTGAGATCGACGCCATTCTCGCTTCCACTGCGGCTACTATCATCCTCTCCAACGCGCTAGGCGTGATCTGTATGGGTTGCTCCGGCGAAAAAAGCTGGGTGTTGGCTCCCGTCCCCTCCGCCGTCTCCTCACGGAGCTGCGTTTCCTCTCCGTCTGCCCTCCGGCGTAATGCGCCCGTGCCCGGCCTTGTTGGCGTCTCCATTACCTCGGTTTGCACCGGGCTATTTGTAAATGCTCCAACCTGCTCCGGCGGCCGCTGCGTGGCGGGGGCTGGGGTCGCCGGCGTGCTTCCGCACAACATCCGTCCCGGCGGCGGCCCCGCCCCTGCAGGACGCTTGTGCAGCCACGAGTTATCCTCTTCCCTCTGCTCCTGCTCTCTTTCTAGTTCCATCTTCTTCACTTCGTTTTCTCCTCCTTAACTTGTTTTCCGGTTGCTACGTATGAGATACCACCAGATCAACGCCGGTTGAGCTAGGGTCCCCACAGACGGCGCCAATTTGATATGATCCAAGATGAGTGACTCCGGTCTTCCGAAGGGTTCTTCACGGTTATGGCGTTAGTGCGTTTAATTCGGTCCGGTCCAAGCTTGAGTGATCGCCGGTACCTGCAAATACGCCGGAATTGCTCCGGCGTAAGACCCTCCGACGCCCAAGTCAATATTTTGGAACAAGAGAATTGTAATGTGTATTGAATGTAACAGTAATTGTAATAAATGATGTCTTACCCTTTTTTCTCAGAATTTACCGTATATATAGTGTTTAGTTTTACGGATCGCCTGGCAACCGCCCCTACTAAGGACCAAGCCAGGGTTAGTGTTCGACTGCCTCACGGACCGATTACCTACTCCCGGTCGATCACCCTTCTCGGGTCATTGGGTCGATTACCTCGTGTTGGTCGATCGTACGTGGTCCCGGTCGATCGACCTCGGGGTCGCTGAAATGGTTCTGGTCGACCGGCCACGGGGTCGATGTCACGGTCTCGGTTCGGTCCTTCGGGTCTTTAAGTCGATCAGGCCGGTCCATTACTATAACCCCTATCAATCCGTTTAATAGTATTAAATTTGGTTATAGAAAAACACAATAACAATTCATGTTTTGCATTTTATAAAATGCTCTATATCTCATATCAATATATAAGTTGATTAATGATAATTTTTTCTTAATTAATTTAGTAGAGAAGAAAATGAAGAAAAAAAATCAATTTTTATCTTGTATTTATGGTGGTAGGATTGGCAAATATGTAAAGGTTGGAGGATATTTTGGAAAAAAATGAGTAAAAGTTAGGGACAAAATAGTAATTTTAAGTGACTCACGAGCAAAGATAAAAATATTTATTATTATATAAAAAGACAACCTAATAAATCTAAAATATATAGTAACTAAAAACATTTCAAAATTCCGCCTAATACTTACTATAATAAGTAACTTTTTTTTGAAAAAAAAAAAAATAGGATAAGCCGCCAAAATAACGTTTTGAATTTTTAGAAAATTTAAAACAAAATGACACAATTCATTGTGGTATATCAGATTGGATGTGTAGATTTGAACAAGATTTTATTTCTCCATAATTTTCTGTAATCCAGATTAAAAGTTGGGAAGAAACCTATTTTTATGGAAATTAGTTAAAAATATTCGGAATGCTTTAGAAAAATTTCCCCACTCTCACAATTTTGAACTCCTCAATAAAATCTCACAAGTCATTGTGGTATAGAAGATTTATTTTCTATAAAAGAACTAATCAATACTACCTTCTCTAATTTTGCATAACATACCAAATTCTTTCGGACTCTATTAATTAGTTTTGATACTAATAAAATCACAAATGATTTAAAGAAATATTCCGTGTTGATAATTTGTAAGTCTAACTAATATGTAGAACACGTGTTTCGGTTTAACAAAAATTTATATACTTAAAAATTTTGATATTACAAAATTTATATAGATAAACATGATGCATTGGTTGATATCCTATTACATTTTTTTTTAATAAATAATTTTCTTAAATTTCATTTTTCCCCATAATAATGTAATATTACCTTAACGACCATTCATATTGAATTGTATACCTTTTAGTGTTTTAAAATATTTATAACGTAATTCGTCGCATTATAGTTCTTATACTATGTAGCGTAAATAGAATTTCCTATTGCATAAGCTATAAGAATATAAGATTTAGTATGTTAGAAATATCAAAATATTTGAATACAATAAAATTGGGTGGTTAATTTTTTTAAAAAATATATCTTAATGCATATTATATGACAATAAATTTTAGAATAGTTTAATAGTTGAGTATTACGATGAATAAAAAGAGGAAAATTTTAATTTTGGTATGAAATGTCCCAATTTATATAGTATGAATTTCATTTAGTATTGATAGAAGGGTATTTGAAAATTTTAAAAATAAAATAAGTGATATGAATTTAATTTATGAGTATGAAAGTTGAATTTTAAGTTGATTTGTTATAAAATTAAGGCGATACAATTCTCAAATTTTAACATATTCTCATATAACTTGCCATAAGGTGATATGTATTCCTCTTGAAAATTAGAAAGATCTTTGAACAAATATCTGTTAATAAAATTTAAAATTTATAATTTAATTCTGGAAAAATAGTTAATAAATTTGAACAACAAGGTAATCGACAATAAATATAGGAAATTTCGAGATTAGTAAAATATAGATATATATAAAATATATAAGGGGATTTATTGTGTAGTCCAAATTTGGATTCTAAATTTAAAATGCAAATAAGTAATTATTAATAACTTACGGGTAAAACCACTTTTAAGTATTGAGATAAAAAAATCTCTCTCGTTCCCAAAACATCGCTGAAACCCTAGCCCCTTAATCTCGCCGATTGAAACTCCCTCGCCGGAAATCCAGGTCCGCCGGTGGACGGCCTCCATCGCTCGTCCATGGAGGAGCAAACCCTCGTCTCAATTGCTGCAGCTGGGATCTGTTCTGTGCGTCGCCATCGGAGAAGATCTTCGTTTCTGGTTGCGCGCCGGAGTTCAGGTGCCGTCGGCGTTGGTCGGGGTGTGGTGCTGGTTCATGGACGAGGCTGGGTTAGCTGCACTTGGCTATGGCTGGGACGCCGCCTATTCTTCTCGCTCACCTTTCTTGCCACCGGGACCTGTGCTTTTCCGCCGGCGAAGCGACTACTGGACAGGGCCGCTTCCTGCTTGACATTTAGCTATGCCAATTGGAGGTTTGGCCTTGTTTCTGTTGCTTTTGTCTCGGTTTTTTTTTTGTCCGCGGTCGGAGGGACCTTTCAGTTCTTCCTTGGCGAGTTGGAATTGGAGGTCTATGATTGGGGAGTCGTAGTTACTGCTGGGATCGGATACCGCTTCTGGCTTGTGCTCGGCTGTTTAGTTGTGTTCAACTGCTCCGGGCTAGGAAGAATGGTTTGTTGTTTCAGGTGGGCTGAATCGGTGAAGTCGAGCCGTGTAGGTTTCTTCACATGATTGGAGTGTGGGTCAGCTTTTCGATTAGTTCAGGGGTGCGGATACCCGTCTTGCTAGGCTTTTCGCAGTGGCAGGCGGTTGTTTTCGTGCTCGGGAGACGTCGTTGGGGTTGGTTTGTCTGCCGTCAATCTAGATTTATCTGGCGGGGGAGGGTGTATGTTTATGTTTTCTTTATTCTGTTAGGTTGTGTTTCAGTTTTTAATTTCTTTAGGATTGTGTTTTTGGTATGAGCCGTTTGGCCTCTGTGAACCTGAGTGTACCTTATTATCCCATTGGGATCCGACACTCGGGTATTACTCTGTTGGGGTCCTTTTAGTTGTTGTTAGTTGTTTTAGTCGTTTTAGTTGGTTAATTTTAGTTGCGAGTTTTATTCTAGCGTTGCTAGCCGGGACTCTAGGCGGTCTTCTGACCTGTTCTCCCACTTTTTCAGTTGTTGACTGTTGTATATTCAGTCGTTGATTGCTGTGTATTCGCACATTTGTGCATTTTGATTTATAATATAATCTATCGTTTTGGGGAAAAAAAAAATAACTTACGGGTCAATATTAACTTGGACGTAAATAGAATAGTACATTATTTATAGTTTAATAAATTACTCAACTGCTTAAATTTTTTATTTAGATAATTTATATAAAAATAATTTATTTTAATTTATGAAAAAATATAACTTTCAATATTACACTTATTATTCACATAAATTTTTAAATATATGATATAATTTTACCAAAATAGTTATTTTGTCGAACTACATTATATTCAAATCGAATTTTTTAATAAAGTTTTTAAGATGACACTTTTTTTGAAAAATATATAATGTATTTATTATCGATTATGTGCACTATACGGGTCGTGTACTAATTTTAAATAGACATGTTTTATGTAATTTTGTAATATTTAAATTTCTTATAATATTTTAGACTAATATAGGTAAATTGTATCACATATTGATTCTATATTTCTAATTTAAAAATATTATTTAATGATCAATTTTAATTTATAAATATTAATGAATATATCTTATCCGTGCATCGCACGGGATTTGTCCTAGTCAACTCAAAAGAGGATGGACAAAAAAATCATGGGAAAATGTGATGAAATTAGTTATATGGGGTCCATGATATCCTTGGGGCTCAAATCAATCATATTAAAAGAAAGATATTAGTGGATAAATGTTCTTAATGATGCAAGTTGAAATTTTGGCTTTTTTTTTAGTAATACGAAAGCAGTCTAAATGTTTACGCGGTTATCAATCAGTACTAAAAATAGTAATTAGTTGTGGAGACGGGTGTGGTCAGTGGTCAGCCATATTCTTCGGAGTTTAATCTCATATGGGACTTTAATCTCATCTGGGACAAAAAAAAAAGTTAATTCTAGGCAAAATAAAATAAAATAACCAGAGCATATAAGGCCTGTAGACTGATCACGTTTGCGCTTAGAATTCCAAGATATCATAAAATCCATTGTCCCTTCTATTAGTTGTTCTTTTCTCTTCTCGCAACAAGTACGTTTTGCCTTTTCAATTTCACTCTCAAATGTTTACATTCTAAGCAATTGAGACATGATTTCTCGTGCACAAGTAATAATGATGCTTTCACCTGATTAAAACTTGCACGATGTATAAAAACATAATGCATATTTTCCACAACATGGTAATTTTATCTTCTCGTCATGCAGTGGTCGAAAGAGATGAGATTGACTCCGAGAAATGTGAACAGAAGTCTCCAGATTTTGAAAACAACAGTATTTCGAAAGGTAAAGGAGACGTTTTCGAGCCATATGTGGGCATGGAATTCCAAACCGAAGATGATGTTAGAAAATTCTACATCGATTACGCCACAAGGGTCGGTTTCGTGGTTCGAGTAGCGCAGTCCACACGTCCTGAAAAGATCGAAGGTGGAAATATCACTCACTGCCTTGTTTGCAACAAGCAAGGGATCTCTTCCAGCCCGAAAGGTAAAATGGGCCTGGAAGGGAAGCCCAGGCCCGGTGTGCGTGAAGCTTGTGACGCAAGGATATTGTTTAAGCTGGAGGAGTCTGGAAAGTGGGTGGTCACTGGAGTTTTCAAGGACCATGACCATGCTTTAGATCTGGTATGCCTGTTTGGTTTATACTTTTTTTGTTTTGCTTCTATGTTNATGGCATTTTAATATGTCAATGGTGAGCATATTAACGGCTTATTATGGCATTTTAATATGTCCACGGTGGGCACATATTAATATGCCCAGCGCTTATGTGGCATGCATACATTGGTGATGTATTTTTTTTTTAATATATTAACATCACCGATGTGTGGATGCCACATAAGCGGTGGACATATTAACATGTGTCTACCGTGGGTAGGGGAGCAATATTTCCCTTTATCTATAATTCAAGAAATTTCGTTATGCGTCTTCATTGATACCAATTTCAAAAAGTTGTGATCGAGTCACGTTTAAGAATATGAGTTGACCGAAAAATGTTCTTGAAACTATTTATCAAAAATGCTCTTCCATATGCCTATATTTAAGTTTTCAATAACTATTTCTTTCTCTGGCATGTTTCTTTCTTTTCTTTTTATTGTTTTCTGTTGGTGTTATCATTGTTTTTTCTTTTGTTCTGTTATGTGTAGCATGAAAAGGACAAGAAAATCCACGAGCTCAAGGGGGAGCTGCAACGGCAGGAGGAGCTATTTGCGACTCATCGGGAGAGATTTATCAGTCTTGTGACTGATATCGAGAAGCAAGTGGATCGACATTTGTCTCCGAAAGTTTTAGCAATTGTTGAGAATGTCAAGAAAGTTGAAGTAGGGGCTTTTGTTACTTCCAAGGCATAGGTAGTACTAGAGATGTAGATATCATCTTAATTTGTTGTAATTAAGTAAATCACTTGTTGGTTTTTGTAGTATTTGTTACGCTGCACTTTTGTTTCCTGTCTGAAAATGATACGATTAAGATATCAATGAATTAATGAGCAGTGATTTTCTGCTTCAGATATGTACAGTAACATAAGCTTGAACTTAGAAACTTTGCGCATTTTAAATAACAATTGATTTCGCCTCAGAAGTCACATACCAACTTTTCTAGTCTTT